ATGTCTATATGAAAACACAATTGAAAGTACAATAGAAATAGTAACTTAAAAAAAAAAAAACAAAAAATCACTCTATCAGGAATGTGAGAGGAGTAAGAAATGCATCCATACATTCTGTATTTCTTCCTAAAACGAAAATGCTTCGATAGTGACTCTACGAATTAAGTTTATTAATCATAAACCACGATAAAATTCGTTTTTAGAACTATTTTCTTTGTTTCTGTCTATTTTCTATTTTAGTTTAGTTTTGCTTCACCAGTCATAATTGTTGTACGTACTATTTATTGGATTTAATTTTCATTTAATAGTTATTGTACACACGTACAATTTATTGGATTTTATTTTCATTTAATAAAGTTGTTTCAATATTTTATCTTACGTTATTACACCCGTTGAGTGCTATTCGTTTAATAGAGAATTTTTTTTAGATGGCATTTTAGTAAACCGACTGTAAAATCGATCAAAAAATAAAGTATCACGTGTTCACTTGTTGGATTTACACCACGCGTATCGATCATTCGACGCTTCCGATAGCGTTTAAATATTGTCGAGAGTTGGCTGTATTTTAAAAAGGTTGCCCAATGTTCGAATTACGCTTCTAAAGTATTTTCACTATTATTTCGCTTTCGTATAAAAGTTCAGAAATGCTTCTTAAACGTTTTTGTCTGTTTCTTGAATTTCAGATGGCTGCTTCTCGTTGCAACTGCCATACGGTTTGTCATCGGGACTACAATCTTACATGCCCAGCATGAATTTACCGCAAAAAGATGAAATGAAATATTTGCGCAACGATGGCAACTTGATGAATATTTGTTTCGGTTGTGGCAAGAGGTACAAGTGGAGAGACAGTTTATTAAGGCATCAAAGAGTTGAATGCGGTAACAAAGAGAAAAAGTTCTGTTGCAAATTGTGCCCGAAAAAGTTCTATCACCAGTACAAGTTAAATGAACATTATCAGGGGCGACACAAACTACCGAAGCCTCATTGAACTTGGAAATTTCAGTGATCTTTGTTTGATGAATGATTTCTAGAATATTTTTATATTGATTCTCTGGAAGGTAAAAAAAAGCAGATGTTCCTCGTGGAAATACTCGACACAGACTCAGAATGTTAATTGTAATAAGACTGCTTTAGGATATGTTTATTAATATTATTTATGACCTCTTTCATCGCCGATCTTTTTGGCAGACACGGATCAATTAAATTCCTGCGAAGCATATAATCGATTTATATCCATAAGCGTGTAAGTAAATACTGACGTAACGCTAAATTTACGATATCAGATCGTATAAATACTAGGAAAACCATAATAAGAATTATGGAAAAATCTCAACTATCATTATATATTTTTTAACAATGTCAGTGTCATTTTTAACTTAATTGCAACATTTTAATAAATTGCAAGTTACTGTCTTATCTTATTGACCTATTGTTCATCGATCTGCTTACTAAACATTGTATCCGAATCAACATCGCTCCCCGTTTTTTGAAATAAATTGAATTGAAAACAAAAGATAAGGAACTTCGGTCAACTGTTTAACTGTTGCAACGGAAGTGTGGCTGCTTATGTGAAAATTTAACACGCTACTTAACCATAACATCAAGCCTTGTTTGCAATGAACCAACCTAAACCTCGTATGTGTATCAATACTTAGGGAAAAATCAGTTTCATCTACATTATTCATTTTACGAAACAGGTTTCACATTTGCTTGATAATATGTGACGTACAAAAATGGGAGTAGATACGATGAAGTCTTGAAAATAAGCCGCGTTTGACGATATTTGGACATTGAACCAATATTTAAATGATTTTTATGTCTTATTGAATGTCTAAATAGCACTCGCAATGCGATTTGTATTCAAATTCTGTTGCGAAATTGTCAAGTAGGAAAGGAAGGTTAGAGGTGATTTAAATCTGGAGATAATCGTTCTCACATAATCGGTGGTTAATCATCAATCATGTGTAAATCCGCCTTTTTCTCATCGTCTTGTTTTGAGCAACTAGCGACATAATAATATAATAAAAATAAATAGATATATATATATATAAATTGGTCACAGATGCGAATCGTCGGAAGCGATTGAGAGACAATGTACAACGATACTGATTTTATTATCTATTTTCTAGAACGGAAGTACTCGCCAAATGCAGGGATCGAATGGTATTATCAATACCAAAGCTTGTATCTTCAATTGATGGCGGAAAATCAAGTGGCAGAGAAGACAGTTTCCGAGAGTAGCGATTGTTCGGGCAAGGTACAGCATTCTGGGAATTGTCTGAACGACTTCATTGCCTCAATGAAGATGCCGAAGAATGGATTTGACAAATCATCGGTGGTGGGGAATCATGCGAATGGGAATGTCCGCGACTCTTTGATTTACTCTTGTTCACGTTGCGGGAACGCTTATACGAGATCTCACTCATTAAACAGACATATCAAATTCGAATGTGGTGTCGAGCCGCAATTCGAATGTCCCATATGTCACAAGAAATCGAAGCATAAACACAACTTGGTTTTACATATGAGAACTCACAAAAAATCTTAAGTACACTTTCATTAATCAGTGAACATAAATGTACGTAACGAAAGTATAGGTTTAACGCCAATGATCTCTGAAAACGTTACTCGTTGCCATTTATTCTTTTTTTAATTTGATAAAATCTTAGTAGTCTATTGTAAATGGAAAAGGTATATATGTAAATATGCGACAAAGTAAAGAGAACGTAAGATAAAGATGAATTAAATTAATAAATTCTTATTGTATATGTATATAAGGAAACAAGTTCATCTGAGTATACGTGTATAGTGTATAGAAAAAGCCACGCCTGTGCGTGGATATCGACAAATATTCATAATTGTATGTAACGAAAATAAATATTACAATATTTACGATTATTTTATTAATCAATTTCTTATAAAAGCACTATACATCTTCCTGTATTACTAATTATCGTATTATTAAAATAGGAATAGGAATTGTAAGGATTTATTGTAAGGAGACCATTCTGTTATATCGTTGGGAAACAATCTTGACAATCGATATATCCCACGATCAAATTCTTCATAAAGATATTAATAATTGCATGCGAGAAGTATCTTGTGACTTGTCAGATAGATTATTATTCATAGTGAACGTAATTCTGCACGAGCGTGCAATCTCTCGGCACAGTTCTTGAAATTTGACGTTTCTCGAGAGGGGAAGAAACATATTTGTTTTGCAACAGCATGGCTCGATATAAGATTCTCGAATTTATTATGTATTCTTTTCCCATTATTAACACTTACGCTCCGGGCGGCGGTCTGCACGCTACGCTTCTTCTTCTTCTGGTGCCGCCTAAGCGAAATCCCTCGAGTTTCAAACACGTGAACACAAAAACGGTATATATGTGTACCTCGTCCTAGCGTTTATGGATAAAGGCAAGAGCGTGCGGGTGTTAATGTATTATCTTGTCGTACAAATGCTTGTTCTTCACTCGCACCAAATGCAAGACAAATGTTTCATCGTGTGTTTAAAAAAATGTTGCAGTTTGGAACATGCTGAAGGATTTGGAAGATGGGCCACCATTTTTGTGTCCAAAGTGCGGTCGTACTTATTCCCACAAGTGCAACTTAACCAGGCATTTACGGCTAGAATGCGGCGTTGGGCCAAGATTTCAATGTGCCTGGTGTAAGAAGCGGTTCAAGCATCGACATCACTTGCGGGACCATCAGAGGATCCATCTTTATTCAAATTGCACGTTTGAATTACGAAATTAGAATACTCCCTTCCCTCCGTTCTCTTTCTATCTATATACTTCATTATTTTTATATATTTCGCGCAATAATTTGAATATTCAATTATTTATTTATTTATTTATTTATTTATTTATTTATTGTTTGTATCGTTCGTTAAATTGTTTATTTGTTTGTTTCATTTATTAACTAGTCAAATGGAGATACATCGTTGTAATATTTCTATTCTCACAATTTAAATATTTTTCTAAGGAATGATATGCACAATCATTTCTCGTTATGGACGTTTGTACGGAATTTGCATATTTCGATTACGCGAGATACTATTATTTTACAAGTCTCTTTTTTTTATAATGCTATTTTTGAATTGCTTACAATCAGAGATTGTTAACTATCGTCTCGCGAGCTCTTGCTCCGATTTTCTTGATCGCTAGCGCTCAACTTGCTTGGTAGGGAAATCATCTGACAATGAGAGAACGAGGCTCATATACGGTGAGGAAATTTCACTGTAGGAGAGATCGATGTGTGAATAGCGATCAAGAAAATAGGGGCAAGGGCTCGCGAGACGTTAACCATCTCTGGCTTACAATATCAATATTCTAGAAGGAAAGAACAATTTTGTAAAAAATTACAAAGCACATGGGGCATTTAATGAGGAAAAAAGAAGAAAGAAAAAAAAAAGAAATTGGAAAGCGAATAGATATCTGTTGGTATGATTCGAGAATTAAATAACGAATTCATTTCTTAAAATGATATGTTAAGAAAATAATGCTATTTTAAAGAGTGTTCACTATGAAAATATATTATTTTTATGCGTATCGTGTATATAAATAGCTAAAACACTTAAACTAACAATGACTTCGAATTAGCAAGTAACCAAATCGTCGGGTTTAGTGTCTAAGAAATTCAAAGTTATTTATTCAAAGTTAGAGTACTTTCCATGTTTGTGATCGGTGTGATTGTCCAGTCTGTGCCAAAAGAGTGATATCAATATATTGTAACATCTACTAGCATGTAAGTCATCACTGTATACTAAATATAGACAGGATAGATATATTTATTTGCATAGAGAGAGACTGGAACAGTACGAGTATACAAGAAAAGCCATTTGGCCCTAAACAAATCCGTCTCAAGTTTTTATAATTCGGTGCTTCTTGCGTATTAGCTTAAAATCATCGAACTATACAAATGGATAGGTGTTTTGAAAACCAATTGCAAATACCTCGTAACCGTGCCAAAGATATGTCCTAGTTTTTATGTTTTACAAAAAGATCCACACACTGGAAATGGTGTATCTGCTGTCATTTAACGTATCGTTGATGCCACTTCGTAACTATGGACGTATCTCGTGATATGATATGATTCGTACGATGTCAGGGACGAGTTATCTCGCGACACAATTCTGTTCGTAGATAGACGAGATATCTTTTTATTAAGGCGAGAGTTTTTTCTACTTTAGAAAAATTCATGAAATTTTATAGTTAAAGATAGGCTCGAGACTAATTTTCAAATTCTCGGAACTGGGATTTAAAACTTTGTAAGGTTTCGAAACTTGAAGTGCCGATTTTATTTTGTAAAAGGAATTTCTTTTAAAAATTTGAGTTAATACCTTTATATAAATTTTCATTGGCCAGAGATAAACAGAAACAGAACAATATGAATAAATAAAAAAAAAAATCTAAGATAATCCAGATTCTAATTAAGAACACTCTTTCTAGATCTAATCTATTTTTTTTTTTT